AACTGGGCTTCTTTGGAAGAGGCAGAGTCTGTGAATGCCAATGGAGCTGGGGCAGGCAGGGCTGCTCAGAGCTGTTACTCTGAGAGTCACAGCACCAACCTCACACAGACCACTGGTGTGGCTGTCACCTGACAGAACCAACCTAGAAAGCTCGTCCAACACAAGACCTGAGTTTGTTGTTTCTCCTGCTCTCTTTCTTCATTTCCCCTTTCGTTCTTTCCTTTCTGGGATTCATTGATATGGGTTTTCTGGAGACAGGGATTCACTGTGCGGCCCTAAAGGCCTGAACTCCCTGTGTAGAGATCCACCTGCCTTTCCTCCCTACATGGGATTACAGGAATGTGCCACTAGGTCCAGACATCTGTTCATTAAAAATCCCTGCCCAGGGCAGATGCAGGGGCGCACAGCTTCACTTGTGGCACTTAGAGGAAGAGGAAGAAAACTCTCAGTGAGTTCAAGGCCAGTCTGGTTTATATAGAAAGTTGCAGTACAGCCTGGGCTACTAGAGAGATAGTGTCCCCCCAAAGAGTTCACTGCTCAGGCCCTTGTGGCTCACATCTGTAATCCCACCATTTGTAATCTCTTTCTTATGGCAGGAGAACTTTGTGAATTTGAAGCACTGTTGGCCCACATAGCAAGTTCTAAGTTAGCCTGGGCTACAAGTATGAGATCTAAGCCCCTCCCCAAATCCACAAACAATAACAATAATGAAATACCTGATTAGTACACTTTAGGAAGTAGACACACATGGATTAGGAATATATGGTCAGTCCCCAGTAAATAGTGAATTGTGGTAGGATAGGCTGAAGTTTACAAACAAGTGTCAAACAAGAGATCCTTGTTTGTTTTTTGAATGCTTTGTGTTTGAGTGTCTTGGTTATTTGTTGTTTGGTTAGACAGAGTCTCACTGTGTAGTCCAGCCTGGAATTGCTAGTTTGCACCACTATGCCCAGCTCCAACAGTTCTTTAGAATCTGAAGGCTGGGTCCTTGCTTGTAATCCCATCATTTTGTAGTCAAAAGCAGAAGGGTTCCTCCGTGTTTGAGCCTAGGCTTCATGGTAAGTTTGAAGCCAGTTCCAAGCCAAAAGTGAGACCTTTCACAAAAACCAAAAACCTTGGGAGCAACTCTACTCATCTGCATCAGACGTCGTGATGACTGGAGATTAGTGTTCTTATCCCTAAGCGGTAGTGAAACTACGAAAGTTTATAAAGCTTCAGTCCTATGAACTGGGACTACACTCTGCCTGTCAAACCTTGCTTGTTGTGAAACTTTTCTGTGCTGCTTCCCATAACGAGAGTTTGCACATTAGCATAGGAAAAAGTTGGTTCTAGAACCAAGTAGGTGAAAGGTCTCTTACTCTGTGTCAGCTGTTATCTGAAGAGATTCCAACTGGAAGGACTCAGACTAGGTTATGCCCACATCTTGGTGTGCCAAGGGTAGTGCCTGCACCGAAAACTTCAGGAGCAAAGAATACTAAGACGTGGAGGTTCCGTGTGCGAGTGAGTGTTCCCAGCACTTTTCTAATGGGCAGACAGGTCCGTGCCCTGCATGAGAAGACCTGAGAGCAGTCCTGGAACCCACAGTCCCTTCAGCTGACCTTGTTTAAGAACCTTCTTCCTAGCCTCCTTGTCGGTCACCAGGGGTTCGGGTGGCCGCTTGACGTCCTCGGCGAAGGGGTTCGGCGAGTTTCCGCTGAAGAAACCCAAGTAAACTCTGCGGAGACCCGCCAGCAGCAGCGCAGCCAGCAGCAGCAAGGTGTGCCACATCTTGCAGCCTGAGCTTGGAATAAGGCGACTTCTCTTTCTGGGTCAGCTTTTATGTCGGAAGCTCCGCTCCAGTAGTTTGTCATTAGAGAAACACCGAGCAAACCGGTCCTACGAACTTGGACCAATGCCGGTGCAAAGCTGATCTTGAAGGTCCATCTTCGCCCTTTATTTGACGCAGTTTCAATTGACTGCATGGAAACTTTGTTCCTGCTCAGGCCAGGAGACACTTAGCACCTGCGCGATGAGGCTCCATAGGCTGTGCGGTGACCCTTACTGGTAGGTTGGCAATGTGTCTGATGAGCCAGGGGGTTGTTGTGAGGAAGATGCAGGTGAGGGAGACAATGTGGGATGGAAATGGTCAACACTGGGCAGGACAAGGCTGAAGGTTGCAGGTCTGAGGGCGATCCCGCTGGTGGGCAGAGAAGACCTGGTTTCTGGAGCCAGTTTTGTGACGGATTCGCTAAAACCTCAGAGGCAACTCATTGCTTTTTTTCTACTTTCCCTTACAGGAAATGAGAAAGTTTTTGTCCCCGTGTCCCACACAGCCTCTGCCTGTCTGGATTTCATGAAGTGAGAGCCCAGTTGAGAGTCGCGAAAGCATTCTCCTGAATCTCTAGCTCACTGCAGAATTCTGGTCCACGAAGTTGCCCCTAATCGCAGTTCCTTGGACAGGGCCTCTAAGTTCAGAGCCACAGGGAACAAGACTCAAGAAAGACCATCAGGGATCATCATGCCCTTGTGTCCATTTGCATTTAAGCACAAACCAGCTTCTAAATGACCTCTTTAAGTTAGCTCCAGAGGACAGTGTAGCTATCCTACCCTCTTAACGTTGCCCTTTGAGAAAAGTAGGTCCGAGATAAGTACTTGATTTGAGACTGTTTTTATAAAAGCCCATTTCCTCAAACACCAGCCATGCGGGGTGGGGACTTCATAACTGAGGATTTTGTCCCTTTCACAGGTCCCAGCAGCGCTCCAGTCGACCACTGAAAGCAGGGCATGCCTCTGTGATGCTTGGTTTGTTTCCCACACAGTGAGAGGAAAACCTTCCTGAGCCTGCCCAGCAAACCTCTCTGTGCCCCTGCCAGGTTAGCTGGTGTGTGTGTGTGTGTGTGTGTGTGTGTGTGTGTGTGTGTGTGTGATCCTGTGCTGCCATCCAGGCCAAGATGGGAGGAAAGGAAAAGAGAGGTGTATGCTGAGGTTCCAGGGAGAGAAAGCTAATTCCGGGGGATGCTGCAGGTCAGGGACTACCACATCCTTCCTAGATCACAGCCCAAAAGCTGTCAATGATCCCAGTTTGTTACTGGCAGCCAGACTTTGAGGAAGGTAGATCAGATTCCTCCAGTCAAAAGCTGACTCTGTGGAGATGCCTGTCTCCTGCCTTAGTCCTCCGAGCCTGTGAAGTATGACTGTCGGTTGTGTGAGAACCCTCCAGCCCCGTTTTTCTTCCCTTGGTATTAAGGGTGGAATCTAGTGTCCTGCCTCTATGCTACAACCCCGGGTTTTCCACCTTACTCCTCTTCTTGTTTTGCTTTTTAAGATTTTATTTAGTGCGGGGTTGTGGGGGGGGCAAGTGGAACTGAGTTTGTCATGGTGCCTGTGTGGAGTCAGAAGACAACTTGTTTCTCTCCTTCTACCATGTGGGTCCCTCTGGGGATTGAACTCAGGTCATCAGGCTTGCTGGCAAACACCTCTACCCACTAAGCCATTTCACCTGCCCTTATTTTGTTTTTTACTGAGACAAAGTCTTGCTATGTATCTTCAGCTGGCCTGGAGCTCTATGTACATGAGGTGACCCCGAAACTTAAAGTTATTCTCCTGACTCTGCCTCCAGGGGCAACACTACCATATTGATTGTGATCTCTGATCTACATATTTTTTTCCATTGTTGGGAATTGAACCCAGGATCTCACACATGATGAGCAATTGCTTTTCTTCTGATCTATGTCCCAGGTCTCATGTTTTTCTGTTGACCCACACACATCAATCCCTGCCACTAAGGTCTTGGAAACTCTTGTCCACGAGAAGACTGTCTCAATTTGACACAATCATCTGATGTGATAGGCGTCCATGATGTCTAGTCCCTCGTGATTGTGATGTGATCTTTGTCCTGCCCTAGTCCTGGACAATATGAGATGAAAGGCATAGAGCAGGGCGAGAGTTCTCAGCTTTCCACAGCGTTTTCCCAGCCTTGAGAAGCAGAAGCAAGCCTCAGCTACATAGCAAGTCTGAGGCCAGACTGAACTGCATCTCCACATCCTGTTTGTATGTCCACATCCCTACGTCAGAGAGAGAGAGAGAGAGAGAGAGAGAGAGAGAGATGCTCATCAGCTAAGAACATTTGTTGCCCTTGCAGAGGACCAGGATTGAGCTCTCGCACCTGCATGGCACCTGACAGGCATCTGTAGCTCGATCTCCAGCTGATCCAATACCCAATGGACATCTTTACATACATGATAGACAGACACACCTGCATGAATACAAATAATAATTTCTAAAAATTGAGTGTGGTTGTGTTGTGGCACATACGTGTAATCCCATCTTTAGGACGGTGGAGACAGACAGATCTCTGAAGCTCACTGGCTGGCCAGCCCAGCCTGCTTGTTGGATTTCAGGCACACCCTCATACACAGACATGTACACTTGCACACACAGAGGCATGCATGCTTTTATGGACACATATAAGTTGAGCTGGAGATGTAGCTAGTGGTAGAACATTTACTTTGCTTGCTTGAAGACACTGGCACCACAACTGCACACACACACACACACACACACACACACACACACTTGATCATTTTGGCTTAGCAAGGTTACGGTATCATCTGGTATTTTGAGATTTTCTGTCCCTCTAGAGAACAGTCCTAGATTCGTAAGCCCCAGAGCTGCTCCTGGGTCTAGCACCTGAACAGAGCCAAAGCTCCTCAGTAAAGTGCAACCACCAGTCAGCCTCACCCCCATAAGCCAGCTAGGTCTCAGTGAGGTCATGGACAGAAACAGACCCCACTAATTAGGTCAGTGCCACTGCCAGCTAGACAGTCATAGTCCATCCCCAACCCCCTCCAGGCCCCTGTATGTCCCATCCAGTCCTGCATTGTGGGCAGTAAGCAGTAGTCATCTGGCTAAACACCCTGTGTATTTAGAATAGATTCACAGTTGATAGAAGATTTTAAGTCTTTTCCTCTTGAGTGGAGGCATAACTGGATGATGAGGCCAGTTTTTTCTTCTTTTCCCAGCCCCGCCCCACCGCTGTTTTCCAGACTGAAGCTTCAGAGTCCCCAGGGCTCCGTTCAGGACGCACAGAAACCTCCTGCACCTTGGTGATGGCACAAAGGGACTGTTTGCTTACTTGTAGCCTGCATGGCCGCCAAGAAGGAAGGCAGAGGTAGAGCACGTGGGCCTGTGGCGCTCCTGGGAGCTTTGGAGCTCAGACCATCGAGTCAAACCCTTTCCAGAGCCTGAGGACAGGCTCGTCTGAACCAGTGATCTTGAGGCATGAACGAGAGATCTTGCTCTGTTGGGACCGAGAACAAACTACGAGATGGACAGGTGAGCGCTCCTGCTCGGAGAAGGAGGTGCTGTTTGGGGGCTGCACGGTTAATGAGACAGACAATGTGGAGCTTTAGAAATATTTAGGGAAAATGATCATATATCTTCATTCTTGGAGATCATGGGCTGAAGGTGTAGTTCAGCAGTAAAGCAATTGCCTAGCGTGCCTGCAGCAGTACGTTCTATTTCCAGTATCAGACAGACAGTCACACAGACGGACAGACAGACAAACATAGTCAGGAAATTCGAAGCCACCATTGTGGAACATCTGTGATGCTAACACTTGGGAGATAGAGACAAAAGGATCAGGAACTCTAGGTCTTTCTCAGCTACAGAATGAGTTCAAGGTCAGTCTAGGAATTTTTAATTCTGTCTCAAAACCAGAAGATTCTTTCCACGTGTAGGTGTTTTTTTGTTTCCTGGCTTAAAGATTCTTGGTTCCTTTTGCTTGTGTTGGGGAATGGGGTTGGTGTCTGAAATTCACTAAGAAATCAGTATTGCTTGGACTTATATCAATTAATTTAGTATTCTCTTCCTTGTCAATCACTGGCTTTGGCTCACTGTCTTACTTAGCTTTTGAAAAGCATTAGAACATCTTTCTTGAGATTTTCTCTTTTTTATAACTTGACTCTGTGTTTCTTGATTGTGAATTTGATAGATGACAGTGTCTGTTGTAAGGTTAAAGGTTAGACACGCCTGCATGTTATTGTAACCCTTGATCATCTAGCTAAAAAAATTATCACATATTTTGATCTTTGATAACCTAACCACTGAAACATTATCTCAGAATAGTTCATATCATATGCCATTTATTCATATGTATTAGGGTTCTCTAGAGGACAGATCTGATTGTGCGTGTGTGTGTGTGCGTGTCTTATATGTGTGTGTGTTCGAGTGGCTTACAGGTTGTGATCCTCCTATCCTAACAGAAAGTTCAAGAATCCAGCAGTTGTTTAGTCCATGAGTCTGGACGTCTCAGTTGGTCTTGAGAACACACCAGAATCCTGAGGAAGTAGGCTCTAATGCCACTGAGGGGATGCACTTGCCAGCGAGAGCGAGGGCCAGCAGACAAAGTCAAAGCCTCCGTTTTCGTGTCCTTTATGTAGGCTGCCAGAAGCAGGTGTGGGCCCAGAGTTAATGTGCTTCCTTCCACTTCAGATGGCCAAGAAAAATCCCCCACGGTCTGTCCAGCAGCTTTATTTGTTAATACTAGATGTAGTCAAGCTGACAACTAAGAATAGCCATCACATCTATGATTTTTAAATGTTTGGAGCTAACGTGGTAGAAGGATTGGCCCTAATCTGTGCTTCTGTTTGTTGTTGTTGTTTTTGGGACAGTTTTTCTGTGTAGCCCTGGCTGTCCTGGACCTCACTCTGTAGACCAGGCTGGCCGCAAACTCTCTGCCTGCCTCTGCCTACCAAGTGCTGTAATTAAGGGTGCATTCCAGTGCTACTTAGCTGTTGTTGTTTTTAAAACGCTATCAAGGGAAAGGTTTGCTGAGTGAAAGGGCTGGGCAAAGCGCCTAAATGAACTACACTGATGCAAGTTCCAGGACTTGCAACAGTAGAGAGACTTAGGGGCTGGTGATAATGCTCAGCTGTAAAGGCGCTTGCTGCCAAGCCTACTGCCCTGAGTTCCGTCCCCAGACTACAGGTTGCCCTATATCCTGTACATGCATACATCAAGTGATTTCTTAAATAATATTAAGTAATCCTTTTATAAGTTTGCCCTCCCCTCTTCTACTCTTTATCTTCCCTTCCTTTTTCTTATGGTGGATACCCTAGCCATATTTGTGCTAAACAATGTTAGACCTACAGTACTACATGTTTAATGCTACATGCTTCTCTTCAGATCATGTGAACCCAGTGTCTCAAGCAAAAGCCTACAATACCACCCCTTCTGTGGGAGCTGAGGGTAGAGATAAGCTCTTCTGTTCTCCTGCCTCGACCTCCCAAGTGCACCACCATGTCTAAATGGTTTTCTTTAGATTTCTCCAAAGTTAATTTCTTTCTTATTCTAAGAAAAGATGAGGAATTGATGTGGTAGGGTCTTCTGTTTGTGTTGATTTCATTGGTCAATAAAGAAACTGCCTTGGCCCACTTGATAGGCCAACCCTTAGGTGGGCAGAGTAGACAGAACAGAATGCTGGGAAGAAGGGAAGTGAGGCAGACGTGATGAAGCTCCAGCCCAAGATGGAAGTAGGCTAGACTCTTTCACAGTAAGCAACCACCTCGTGGTGCTACACACATTATTAGAAATGAGTTAATCAAGATGTGAGAATTAGCCAGTAAGAGGCTAGAGCTAATGGGCCAGGCAGTGTTTAAAAGAATGCAGTTTGTGTGTTGTTATTTAGGGGCACAAGCTAGCTGGGTGGCCGCGAGCAGGACAGCAGGAATGCAACCTGCCGCTCTTTCTACAAGGAATTTAAACCATGGCCTGTGAGAGACTGCTGCAGGAAGTTAACCCTGGTCTGTCTGTCTGTCTGTCTGTCTGTCTGTCTGTCTTGCAGGTGGAATGTGTCTCTGCTGGGCACTCCTCATTGTACAAGGACAGTGGCGCACTTGTGGCTTTCAGAGGAGTTCCGGTATATATCACACGCTCTTGCGTGCCTCTGCTGCCAACCTAGGCTTCCGTGTACTGGGGACACAGGAGGGCAAGCACAAACCCGACACACAGTGTCTGTCTGATAAGATCATAGCACCCAGAGGATGAGCATCGAATGCACTAGGGATGCCAAAGCACACCGCTGTCCCAAGGGGCTGTGTGCCTCTGTTTATAGCATTCAACAGGACATGCGTTTGTCCCACACATTAACAAACTGCAACCGCACAGTCAACGTATCCAGGAACTCCACTTTAAGAATACCTTTTGGCTGGAGGAGGTGGTGCAGGCCTGTAGGCCCGAGCATATCAGAGTCTGAGACAGGAAGACAAGAGTTCAAGGCCTGCCTGTGCAATATAGCTATGCTGTGTCTTCAACAAAAACAAGATTGAATTTAGAACTGGGGTGTAGCTCAGTGTAGAATGAGTGTTTAGTGTGCACTTGGCTCTGAGCTCACATGAGTGTGCACACGCACAGGCAGTTAGGGCTGAGGTAATCCACAGTAAAGTTGTTGTTGTGCCCACATGCGGACCTGGGTTTAATGCCTGAAACGCACGTAAAGGCTAGGCATGGGGGCTGTGCTTGCAATCCTAGTGCTGTGGGGGCAGAGGCGGGCAGATCTTGGGGCTCAATGGGCAGCTAGTCTAGCCAAAGCAGGGTGCCTCAGGGACCAGTGAGAGACCCTCTTGCAAAAAGCAAAGTGGAAGTCTCCTGAGGAACAAAACCCAAGTTCACCTCTGGCCTACGTGAGTGCACACACACACACACACACACACACACACACACACACACTCCTGTGGGTCCCTATGTCATGTCAGGATCATCTTCTGGCTCCAAGAGGACAGGGACAGTGCATACATGGTTTGTCCATCTCTCTCCAGATTTTAGGCACCCACTGGATGAGCTAGCTGAAACCTTGAACTTGGTGTTGCATAACTGTTGCAATGGCAGATTCCCTTGCCCTCTCGCCAGGGTTTTTCTTCTGGCTCACACATGTGGTCAGATCACTTGTAGGTGAGAGGGCATTGGGTGAGAGATAGGTCTATCAATGATCAAGGTGCTCGGAGACCAGGGTTGAAGGTAGGAAGGCTGTGTCCAGCCCCACCACTTTCCCTGTGTTCCACACTCCTCACTCATTTTGTTTTCTGTTCTTTTGAGACAAGGTTTTGTGTAGGCCCACCTTACCTAGAGCAGGACTACAGTCCTGTCTGCAGCACTGTCACTAGCTTGGGATTCATACCTCTTCTACATAATTACAAAGAAAAGGAGCAGCGTATCCTGAGCCTTTGTCAGGGTAGTGACAGCCTGTCTGGAAGGGTACGCGTGTTCTGAATTCTAACCATCGCCAGAGAACTTGGCTGTTATACCATGTAGAAAGATGGGCCCACAATCCACTCTCTTTTATTAATTTTAATAAGACCTGTGCTTCTGCAATAGGGCCGATGATTACACCTGGCTCGGGTAAAGACCTTCCTATTTACCCAAATCACCAGTCGTTGGAAATCTAGTTCACGGGAGAGATACTTTTGGGCACTGTGTCCTGGAGCCATACTTTCTTGTCAGGATAAATTATAATGCTTTAGGAGCAATCATTCTCCCAAAGGCTATAGTCCCCTATTTAAAGGAGAAGAGAATCTCCTGGGTTGAAAATGTTTCTTCTGCTAGTTTAGAGCACCTCTCAAATATTTTACATTGTATCAAAATCTAAAATTCTTTAACCTATGCATTAACTCCCAACGTTTACAAGTGTGTTAAACTTTTCTGAGCAGCTGACAAGTCAATATCATATTCTCAGCATTGTCGGCCAATACCAACTTTTCCAAATCTCTTTAGGTCAGTACCATCATTCTCAGCATCATTGGTCAATACCAACTTTTCTCAGCATCTTATTTGCAGTTACAAATATCAGGTCAATACTGGTAAGAGTACAATGACATTGCTGTTATCAAATACCAGTTTCAGTCTCTGAGCAGCTCTTACATCCTTAGGCTGCCTCTTTTTTTAACTGAAGCAGGCTTCAGTCATTTCTTATTTTGAGTCTTTTTTTTCCCTGAGGAGAAAGCTTAGGTCTTAGTTCTCAGGGCCAATATTTAACCAAAATGAGATACTAAAACAGTCAAATGTGCAGTCCCTAATCAGGCATTCCTTGCTGTGGGAGCTAGGGAAGTCAGATCACAGGTCCCTAATCAGGCATTCCTTGCTGTGGGAGCTAGGGAAGTCAGATCACAGGTCCCTAATCAGGCATTCCTTGCTGTGGGAGCTAGGGAAGTCAGATCACAGGTTCCTCTAATCAGGCATTCCTTGCTGTGGGAGCTAGGGAAGTCAGATCACAGGTCCCTAATCAGGCGTTCCTTGCTGTGGGAGCTAGGGAAGTCAGATCACAGGTCCCTAATCA